AGGGAAAGAAGTAAGATTCATGGATCCAGCAAAGGTATAATGGCCAAGGCTGGTCAAGAAAATTGTAAAAACTCTGACAAAGTAAGGCTACGAAGAGCTTACATTCACTTCCTACATCCTTGTAGGATGAGTACATCCTCCGTGTACTCCAGCTGTCTGTTGTTTTATTTGTCCCTGCTTCACACCCTTTTATTATACACCATGCCTGCAAGACCTACCTGCTCCTCTATGTAGGAGGTGTCAGCATGACCAACTTGCAAATTGTGAGCTGTGGATCAGTTTGCATCTGGAACAGCACATTGTGGCTGCAGGTGGGAGTTCTACCCTGTGCATGCAAACAAGGTAAGAGTCCCTGGAAGTGAAGGGCCTAATGCAGCTATAAAAGGTTCAAGGTCATTGTCAGAAAAAATTTGGAAGTTGATTAATTTTTCCAAGCAAATTCTTTTAGACATGGTTGAGGTCCTGAAATCTTATCGCTGTAAGAAATCTCTCTGCTCTATAAAGTACAAAGTCATGTCCTAACCTGAAACACCAGAATGCCTGTGTTGGCAACAGCCAGGTTGATTTTTGTCCCTTCCCTGTCTTTGGCTGGATGCAAGCGTATTCCATACATCTCCAGCCGACGAGCAATCTCTAAAAGCTGGAAGTCAGACTCTGCTGGTGTCTGTCCCCTGGAGAAAGAAAACAGAGAAGATGCACAAATTCTTCACACCTTTTAACAGAGATGAACAGGTCCTTCAGAGAACAAAGAAACATTTCGTCAAAGAGACTGAAACCTGTCAGAGGTATAATATCTGTATGGTTTTTCTATGTCCTCAGATTCGTATCTGCTAGAACAACAACTTTATCTTAGTCTAAACCAGTAACACAGAATCCACAGATTTTAGAGTCTATTAAAAATTTTAATCGCTCCAATTCTGAGACACCTGATACAGCTAGATTTTGAACCATTAACTTTAACAGAATTCACTGCCACTCTTTGTATTTTCCCTTGGAAAAACATGCTATATTCCTTAAAAAAAAAAAAAAAAAAAAATCAAACAGAAGTGTGTAAGGATGTTGTTCATTGTAAAAGTGAACGCAATACCAAAATGAAGTAAAACAGAAGATGTGAAAACATTAACTTAAATGTTGGGAACCCATAAGTACTAAAGTAATGACAAAACTATGCAGAAGTTTTAATTATTACTGCTACAGAAGTCCCTACCATTCATATCTAATTCAATGTGGCTCAAAATTAAATTGTTCAAGTTTTGAAGTGTTCTCAACAGAAAAAAAATACCTTTCTATGCCTTATTTGTAATTCTTTTAACCATCTTCTTATTACTACTCTTTTCTCCAAGCCTTAGGATACCAATTTGCATCATCATCTTGAATCCTACTTCCCCAAAGCTCTAGTTCTGCAAGCTCTTTGTGCTTTTCCCAAAACTATCACTAAACCCCTTCTTCACCCATCTCTAAATACAGCATGGAAAGGTGAAAAAGCAACATTCAATGTCCTTGAAATCAAAAGACTGCTGTCAGAAGTGCCTGATTGATCAGTCATCATTTGCAATCATAACTGCATGCACAAAATCAGCAGTGAAGCATTTTGTATGAAATAGACTGTAAAATAATGGCATGCATGAAGAAATATCAAAATCAGTTCCTCTTTAAACATCTTGTTACAATCGCAGGAGAAAGGCAGGAGTAACCTTCAGGAAATTCACTGAATATTATCTGAGAAGTAACCTTTGAGAAACTCAAGAGTTCCCAATCTCTTTTGTACTTATGATCTAGCACATATTTACAGTTAGTTACTCTAAAGGAAAAGGCAGCCAATAACAAGAACAGAAAAGTCTTACATGTGACTACGGTGAAATTCCATGATTTTGTCTTCTAGTGCTTCTTGCTGAGGTATATACTTGTTCTTCGCTAAGTGTTCACGATCTACGGTTTCATCAAAATCTCCAATCTCAGCTATGGAGAATTTTAAGAAAAGTTTATTAAAACATCGCATTAAATCTGAAATTTTGGGGCCATCCAAAAGGTGCAGACAGCTGGGAAGAGAGCAGAGAAGCAAGCATAGTTTCTTGCAAGCTGTGTCATGGTTTTATGATTCAGATTCCCACTACATTATCTTCCACACCGTCCTTCTTCCTCCCTTCTCCTCTGTGTTAGTATCTGATTTGTGGTAAGTGGTGGGATTCCTCCCATCCACCACAACCAAGTTAGCAGCTATTGGATGTCAACTGAACAAATGAAGCCATCACAGTGCTCCCTTGACATGAGTGTGGGATAAGGGGGAGAAGGTGACAGGGAGGACAGCGCTAATTCAGCAGCTCTCATCCATCTCTCACACACATGGTGGTGCTCAGGTGCCTTTCCCTGGAGCAGTCAAGCACACTCCCCAGGACAATGTCCCACACCATAATCTTCTGGGGGAAATCTGAAGAGAGATGGTTTTGTTTGCTTGTTTGAATGCAGGCATGTATTCCACCTTGTGAGGTTGTGAAACATTTGTCTTCCTCTAATTTTGCAGCAGTTTGAGACACATTTTGTCTCCCTCCTCCTCAAAGTCGCTCCCATCTGCTGCAGTTATTCAATACCGTGTGTGCAACAGTATGTCACACCCACCTTCCATTTTGCAGCCCATTCAGTGAGATTTCCCTTTTTTTTCTTCCGGGGGCGGGGGGGGGGGACGGAGGGGAATGGATAAGCTATGTGTGGGTGCCAGATTACTATCTTGTTGCCTGCTCTTCTTGGAATGACTCTGAAAATCTTGCTGTCAGCTTTTTCATTGAACAGCATAGCAGCCTCTACCTGCAAGTCTGCTGGAATAGGTTGCAGCAACAATGCTACAATGAAGGTTGCTACCTTAATCATGTCAGTGAAATTAAAATGCAGTGCCCTCAAGTTAAATCCAGGTTATAGTCAGACATGTTGTTGCACAGTTGACCTAGAATGTCACAGACCCAAGCTCATATCCTTGCCTCATCCACACCTCAGTTCTGCTCATGTAAATGATCCCTTAATCCAGTTCTGTCCAAAATAAGCTGGTTTAGAAAAAAAGAAGGGTTTCAGATGATGTTTAAAACACTGCAGGTGATTTCTGACAAAAGTTTGCCTGAGATCAGATGTACCTGCAAATGCGGAGGGGGAGCAATAACCTTGCGTAGGGAAGATGAAGACCAAAGCATCTATGAATGACAAAGCAGTAACCTTTCAACCCAAACTGCCTACAGCCATACCATGACTTTTTATACTTCGGAGGTCAAAGGTGGAAAAGAGTTGATAACTGAGGCAGTCTGATTTCCACCCCTTCCCTCATCCCGTCTGCTCTGAATCATTCCTTAGGACAGCAGAAATACTACAGAATCTTTCAGAATTCTTCTTTGTAACATGTCCCTTTTGTCTCCATCTCAGAAACAGCTCCCTCACTCGTTTTCTTTGCCCCAGCGTCACAAATCTTTAGGGTCTGTTTTTAAACCTAATTCAAATGAAAGGCAAGTTTCTCTCCTTTAATAAAGCTATAAGCCCACCTAGGTTTGCAATACATCAAATAAAACACAGGCCTTGATTCTTTAAAGTGCAATTAGTACCCTTGTACGTCCTTGTACACAAATGGACTCGAACCACCTTCTGTAGGGCTTTCTTCAGGGCCAAGAGTACAGAAGACTCTTATTTCACCTCTACATGATTTCTATACTGTTGTCTGCATTTGTCAACTGCAAATTCATTATCAAAATTGTCCTCCTGGCTTTCAAGTTAATTCTGAATTTGTTCTCTCTGATCTCATACTCAACAGCTTTTCCTTGTCTTCTTAGCCCTCCTTTTTTACCTTAAATGACTTTCTAGTAGCACTCCCTCTAGAATGAGAGGGAGTTATATTTTGAATATTGTCAGCCTCACATCTAACTCTTCTTTAAAAATCTTCTCATGTATTTTAGCCAAAGATTGATTTCCACTGATGCTCCCTTTTCTTTTGCAAGTGCATTACACCACACTGTATTCTGTTTGCATTAGCACTTCTGATATGTCCAATGCTTTGTATTTCTGCTCTTTTCTTTGAATCAGTCCATCTTCTTACTTCACACACTCACTTTACTGCATCATTTGCCGTATTGAAGTGTCCTCTCACTTCTAACACTTTCTACAATGCTTTTAAGATATTTTTAAATAGAATGTTTCAAATACAAATTTAACTTTGTAATATAAATGCTAATTTAACAGGAACCTATTTGCTATAATATTATTATTTCACATAAATAACAGTCTATAACATTGACATAAGCTTGTATACATAATATAAGGACCTCCTGGAATCAGATATCCCCCATAGAAACCGCTCGTGGGTACAGCATCAGTAAGACATACAATACCTAACCTCCTGCATTCTCAGTCTTTCCACTTTGATATCATTAGTCTTATCAGCTGTCTAGTTTTGTTTTTGTTGCAGACAAATATGTAATATTTTTTTAGCTACTGAATAGTAAGCCAGAGGGAAAATAAATACAGAAGACTGTGGGTAAGACACAGCTATAGACTCTTACCAGAGAAAATTTTCACAGGAAAATTTTCACGAGATAAGATGGATAAATAAATGAACAGACACAAACTGCTAGCAGAGGTTTCTAGTACACGCTGTTACACAAAAGAAGGAGAGGGGAAAAATTGTAACACCAAAAAAAAGGTCCAGCTTGCAGTCAGGAGATGGTGAGGGGAAGCAGCACTGCAGGTGCACCATGAGGCACAACATCCCCCTGCCCAAAATGGCAGTTCAGATTCTGTGAATACTGTCTCACTTCTGCCTGATGAATCTCTCACCTCTCTCATTCTGACACAATGGAAAAACTCAATTTTTTAGTACAGAAGTATCTTACCTTACTCTCCCCATACGGAGAGCACTACTTTATTCCTAAAATAGCAGTTCAGAATCACTCTGCACCTCAAGCTCACAGGTGAAGGGGACAAAGAACTAGAAAGATTCATCTAAAAAATACATCATGATCATTTCCAGCAACTGAAGAAATCCAACAGTATAATGCATCTCAGCAGCATAAGAGCAGTGGTGGTGATTTGCCATTTTTGCACACTTTGAAATGAATGCTTCTTGCTGGCCTGTATAGGTGTGTCAGGGGGAATGGCGAGGTATATAATGGAGGAATTTTGAAAAAACACTGAATTAAATTTGACTTTGACTGTGGGGAGAAGGGAAAGGGACAGCTTGTAAAGGTGAAGACACCCTGTATTCCTGACAGAAAACTTCCTGAAGATATCCTCTTATGTTGCTGCTTTAGCAAAACAAGTTAGCAGTTGCACTCTGAGTAGTTCAGACATCAGAGGTGTAGACAGTTCAGTGAAGAACTTGATAAGAGATGAGTAAGACATGAAATAGGATCTAAGTAGAAATCATAAGGAAAATAATGCATATAAAGTGTAAGAGCTCAAGAGAGAATGATCGTGAAGCAATACCTCAAATGGAGAGAGACACATGCATTAGGGTGTCCTCTCACCAACATCCTTCTTCGGTGCACAGACACAGTAGGAAGACTAACCCTCCTAGAATGCAGTGTAACAAATGATGCTCAATTTCGCCCAAACAATAACACTTTTTTTCCTGAGATGAAAGGAAGCTAGAACTAGCTTAACTGAGGAAAGAACTACAGCTGGCATGCTGGACACGGTAATGGGAAAAACTAAAAGACACAGAAAGCTCACTAGCCAAGGATTTTTTTATTAACTTTTTTTCCAAGTCTGTGGTGCAAAAATACTCAGTTTTAAAATGGTATGAAGAATACAGAATTTCACAGAGGTTGTTGTACAGCTTCTTATTGCTACTCAGTCACACTGGGCAATGATGACCATGGCAAAGACAACCATGCACACCATACCTGCCTTTCCAACAGCAACTGATTTGAAACTGCCCTAACACTCAAGCAGACTATAAAAAAGGATCATGAGATTTATCTGTTCATCACTAGAGAGCTTCTGAATGTCTTTGTTGACTGCAGTTTCCATGTAACAGCATTTCAGTGGAAAAATGCAATACTCAATTGCAGAATGACCATTCAAAACAATGGCCTATTACGACTATTATACATGCTACTAAGTGGTTTTTCCTAATGTTATTCTCAAGATGAGTATCTATGAAGTCTTGAAATGGAAAACATACGCTGCCTTTCAAGCGATCTGGAAGCTAAAAGAGCCTTTGAAGTGATGAACAAAGTTAACATATGACTCTACTGAACAGTCTTATTGTGCATACTTTGCAATTAAAAAAAAAAAAAAGCTTAAAATCTGTTGTTGTTCATTTCTTCCCTATCAGTCTCCTCTTAGGACTGTGATTTAGTCTGGCATTCTAAGCATGTTTATTTACTACATTCTCTAGACAGCGTCCAGATCTCCAGGAATTTGAATGCTCTGCTGACATGATACAAAGTCTAATAAAACAGGAATTCAGAAGAACCTGTTTGCCACTGTATGCAAAGTTTGCTTTTTAAATGATCCTAGGCAGACTATCAAATGCAGTGCTTTAAAAATGCAAAACCAGTGTCCAGAAGCTCTTCTTTATTTGAAAGAGTAAATTATGTGTATTTGAATGCCATTATACATAAACAGAATTAATTTTACATACAGCTTAAAACTGTCCCTACAGCAGCTACTAACAGGTACCCAGTAAAGCATGTCCAACCAGTCATCCTGTTTATCCTCCTGGAAAGAAGGAAAAAGGGAACTTACACTGTACTATGTGTGAGATTAAGAGGGCAGTGCTGGTATCATTACAGGTTAGCCTTCCCTGTGCCAGGTCCTGCTTCACTTGCAATGCAAATAGGTACCTGCAAAACAAAAGTGAGCAGTTAGACAAAGCGGGAGGGAAATATTGAAGATATTTCAACTCAAGTTTTGATTACATGTTCCTTTCACTTTTTGGAATCTACAGAAGTGATCTGAATTTCCTAAGTTTAGAGGCTAAATAAAACATAACAGATACTGTATTACAGCCATTAGAGTCTTTACATGGTGGCTACTTTGCAGAACCAAGATAGCTCTCTTGGTCTCTATTCCTCCCTCCCTTGGAACAAGAGCAATGAGATCTGGAAGCGATATGACAGTGGAAGCAAATGCGACAGCTATTAAGAGCTCAGCAACCGCACAGCAAGCAGCACTAGATAATGGAGCTGCTTGTAACTATGAAGAAATGCCAGATAAACCAGTGATTTAGAGTTATCAGTTAGTTCTTGTAGAACACAAGAACTCTAAACTTCCACCTTGGCACTCACCTGGAAACGAGGAGCAAGATCTTGATTGAACAACACTAGCTAGCTCTGATGCTTTTGTGGCCCCATTACCTGCACCACCTATGTACCAGCCATTTTTAACATATTCACTTCCAAATCATCTCAGCCACATAGGGCAACTCTACATAGAAAGTTAAGTGCAGAGACATCACAGGTCCGCAACATTATTTCAACATTTAAATTTCTTCTAGCTTCAACAGGAATTGAAATTGCTTATTTCTACTCAGCACCAAATTCTTCCCTAGAAATAAACGACCTAGCAGTAAGCATTTCTCCTGTGGTTGGTACGAAACCTGAACTGGTTAGACACCTTACAAGCCTTCCAAAGACTGCAGTTTCTCTGGAGAACTCATACTAGGATCTCAATGGTTTTTAGTTAAGACTAGATTTTAATAGGTTCAGTGAAAAGCTTTCATTTGAACAGTGAGTTTCTGAATGAGATGTAGGTAAATTAAATGAAAAGGGACATCTGATTTGAAGAGTATGAAAACATACACAGTAGATGAAATAACACAGCAGCTCTAAATAATCTTTTGAAACCTGCAGACCTCTGCCTACCCATACAAAATTCACCCTAGTAGAAGATGACAGCACAGAAGTGTTATATTCTCTTCTTCTTCACGTGATGAAGCTGTTGCCTGCAGATATGCTTTCACATCCTACACGCTGCTGTGTTCCCTAGCATACACATTTAAAATCTAACCAAAAAAGTCATTAGGATTCAGAGACACATCTCCAGGTGCAGAAAGAGATGACCAAAAATCAATTTACAGCTCACATACTAAGCAACTGATATGCAGAATATCTATTCAGAAACAGAAATGTTTCATTAGTAACATCATGTTGTGAGTTTTCATTCATCCCTTTATTATTTTTACTCAGTCTTTCAAGTAAATATTCCTTCTTCCTACCCCATTTTTCTACATTTTTCTCTCCCGGCCAACAGGAGATATCAATAATTTCTCTTCTTCTATTCCATTGCTCTATTACCAAAATGAAACAAGACAGAGATAAATACAGAACACCACAAAGGTGGACTTGTTCTTTACAAAGCAGGTCGTAAGGACACAAAAGCTGTTTTAAAAGAGGACTTCATCTTGTGGGAAGACTGAAGAAAAAAACTAGTAGTGAAAATACTGAATCAGAATGGAAAAATGTAATTAAAAATAGTAATATAGTAGATCAGAAAGTGTTGAAAATTCCTGTGAAGAAATACTGCAACAAAACCATGTTTCTGACCATAAAGGAAGGACTTCGTGATGAGCAAGAACCTTAGTAAGTCTCTCATATACCTATTTACTCACAAAGAAATATGACTCTTCATGCCAATGCAGCGTGAAATTCAGAGCCTAAATGAAGTTTTTGAAATGCACTCAAAATACACACACCTTTAAGGCACTTTTTCTGCATATGTGTATCTTTCCATACCTTCCTCTTACTTTTCATTTTATTTCCTCTCATTTCCATTTCTCCATCTCTGAAGTCACACTTCCACCCATGCAAACCTTTGTCCTTTGCATTGGCTGTATGAATATGGTCCCCCAGCTGCTGCAACTTGGCAATTCATGCAGAACAACCCTCTCCCAAATGTGGACACAGAGTCGCATGTGTCCCTCAGCCGAGAACGCCCCAGGGCACCAACACATGTCTTAGTCAGGTCCCTTCCAACACCACTGCCAAAGGGGCTTGAAGAAGTCTTGCAGAACGGCCTTCTCTTGGGGTGAGCAAAGCTCTCCCAGGGCCCCAAGCCCCGTTCGCAGAACGTCTCAGCACAGACTGCAACAGAATCTTAGGGCCTATTTTTTCAGGTGCATTAGCAGTTGGGGAAAATAACATCAAGTTAATACTAAGAGGCAGCCATCGATCCTCACCCAATCAATCAAGATCAAATTCCTTGTTCTCCTCTCTGTCCACCAAATTTAATTAAAAAAAAATTAAAAAAATCATGCAGTTACTAACCTTGTCAATTCCTCCTGCAGCTGAGCGTGGTCAGGTGGGAAGAATTTTACCACAAATTTTACAACAACGTGCTTCGGTCCTAGGGAAAGTGTCAAAGGAAGTTGGTGAACATCAGTAACATGCTGGCCAAATTTTATTATGCAGAATGATGTACAGAGAATGATTCATGGAACCTGCAATGCATACATACATGCTAACCTCCCGTCCTTTGTTAGTACTTAGTTATTTAGAAATTGCACAATAAAATTTACACACAATAAAAAAGAACAGTAACTTGGTGGAGGGATACTCTGCCAAAACAGAGTCTGTTTTTAGTAATTACATCAGTTGATCCAATAAAATACATTATGTGTGTCTATTTTCCTTGCCTCGAACAGGATGGAGCTAAAATACACTCTACTTTTCAAGTCCACTAGCAAATTACTATTTCTGTTTTAACAACAGCACATTTCTTCGGATCATTACAAGTATGACCAGTGACAAAAGGAGCAATGCATCTCTCTCTCGTGGCAGGAAGAGGTGCCAGAGCATACGCTCAAACTAATATGACCAGAAGGGCACCTAGGGAAACTTAAACTCAATGGCAGAGATCAATAAATTAAGAACTTTGCTGATATTTAACAGAGAAACATAATCACCAAAACCTTTCCTGCTCACTTCTACTCTTCCCAGAGCTGATGGCTATTTACAAATTCTTTTTGGCTCCTGCCACTGACCAGACCTTTCCCTGATGCCCCTAATCCAGCTGTTTTGTCCTCTTGGTCTCAGACAGTTCCAAGTTCTGCAGCAAGGTCCCCGACAGCTGTAACATATTTGCTAGCTCCTTCTCAGACATAACGTAGTCCTGTTCTGTTTCTGTTATGCCAATTACTGTTACCTTCCAGCAATGTGTGCTTCCTTTAATCCTTCTTTTACTGCATGCTTTTTTTCCCTCTACAAAGCTGTTTCCTCCATTGCCACCACTGCTTCTTCTAATGACTGCCTAAAGTGCTGTCTCCTACTGGGTCAGCCCCTTCATATGTTCATGTGACATAATTTCACAGCACGCACAGTATCTCTTTTAAGGACAGGCCAGAAATAAAAAACCAATCCAAACAAAATTCAGTGAAGAAAGCTGAGAAGATAAAGCTCCCAACTGATAGAGTCCTCATTTATTCAAGTACTCTCAGGCTGACAAAATAAATGATAGCAAGGAAGTACTTACTTCTAATCTGTTTCATAACAGGCTTCAAAAGATCAAGCCACACCTGAAAACAAAAGAAGGTGGTGTTATCATTTCTGAACAAACTACTGCTCACAAAGGAGCATTTTTCATTTCATTACATAGATTAGCAGTTACTTATATAATTTTTTTCCACTGCAGTCATCATGCTCTCCTTAATTATATGTAGTGTGTTTTCTCCCCAAAACTCTGGAAGATGCTCAGGAAATAGCACTGTTAACGGGCTGTCACCACAGCACAGCTTTTGAAGCAGTACAGATTCAGAGAGCTGGGAAACAGTGAGGAAATCTCCTCAGTTGTCTCAGATACAAACAATCACAGCACATTCGGTCAGCAACCATTCATTTTGTGGAAAGAGCTACCAAAATAAGGAGTTCAGAAAATGTCCCAGGCTGTCATTGTGGTCCTCTACCTGAATTCATCTCCAGAAAGGCATCCTTAAGAGGCTGGTGCTTGCTTTTGAGCTGGGAGCGCTGGGCAAATGGAGCAATGAGAAGAAGGCTTTGGGGATGCAGCAGAAGTCTCATCATGAGGCCTGGGCATAAATGTGGAGCTCCCCGACTTGGCTCCAGTGAGATAAAGGAGCCTCACCACCACCAACAGGGGGGAGAGCGTCCTTGCAGGTCAAGGGCGTGAGGCAGACAGCGCCAAACGGAGGCAGCTGGAAGCTTACTTCACAGCTGTGTAACATTTTCTATTTTCTATAGACCTGGGAAGTTCAGGCATAAGCTTTCTTAATTGGGGCGGTGTAGCTTCTGCATACAGTTTACTTTCATCTGTTTTTTAACAACCCATTTTTCAGGACGATGTGTGGGTCTTTCCTTCAGCTTTCAAAAGAGAAGCAATGTGTGGAAAAAACAGTCTTCAGTGCCTATAACCCCCATTCTGCAGTCTCACTCTGAAGGGCCTGGGCAAAATTTTATAGAAAGCCAAGAGACAATCATGCAGAAGATAAAAGCCAAATAACTTGCAAGGCCTGGAGATGTGCAACAGCTCACAGTCCTCAGCCAGTGACTAACTACGCCCCAGATTTGTATTTTGTTATCTCACTAAATTGCACGGAGCCTCCCTTGGAGACACCTGGAATTTGTGGAGGAACATCCTACAACCATCACAAAGGTTACAGCCATTCAAAAACAAATTAACCGAGTCTTCCTCTGGAAAAAGAATATGTACTGAAATGAATATACCTTTGACCTTTAATAATTTTAGATTATGCAAAGACTGAAACATACTCAAAATACCTATTTTAGAAAATCACCTGAGAAGCCAGGCAGGAGCAGGCCTGTATTGCTGCTATAACTGCTCCAATGCTGTTTGCTATTTCCATCATTACCAATATGAGCGCTTCCAGTTAGCAAAGACCTCACATTCCTGCCCTTTCACATTCACTAACGTTTCTCAATGGAATTCTTTTCATGTTTCTCAGCCTATGAAAGTCTTTTTCACTTCTGATGGGAGTGAAAACCTTTTTTTTTTTTTGGGGGGGGGGGAGGGGGCAGAGGAGAGGGCTAAAGAAACTTGGTTATCCAAGAATAGGAACACAGTGTTTATCACACGTTGAACTGGTTCTGACACTTTTTGGCATTTCAGTAAAACTGTTTTGTTTCAGAAAGTTGGCATGTACATAATCTGTATTGAAGGTCAGGGACTTTGCCAAGTTTGGGGGCGGGGGGGGGAAGTAATCTCGAATATGAAACAAGCCAGTTTACAAGAATATGGAAGTAGTGTATTTGACTTGACACACAAAAAAACTCCTCTCTCTCTCCCCAGAGGGAGTTTATAATACAGCACGAGCACACAAGTGCATCATTCCTTTCTCCACTTTCTCAATCACTCTACAAGCAAGTTACAACATACTTGACCAGAGTGCTGGATACTAGAAATGCATGTATCGGACACGTGTAG